TATATATATATATATATATATAATTTTTTTGATGATAATATTGTGTATCCCATATTAAAAAATATATATAGATATATATAAAATTGTTAATAAAATATAAGTTTATTAAGATAATATAATACTTCCGAAAGAAAAATATTACTTTTGATCTAATCTACTATTAAATATATTTTTAATCCTAAACATTATCAAATTTCACTGTAATTTTTGAACAAAACAATATTTAGTTTGTACTAAAAATAACTTTTAAATTCTAATTAAATAGGGGTTATATATATATATGTGTGTGTGTGTGTGTGAGTATTATATTCAAACCTATAAGTGATTTTTAAGTTAATATTTGTGAAAAGATAATTTAATTTATCAAATATCTCATATTTAATTAACCATTAAAATAATAAATTTCATAAATTATTTATTAGTTTTTCAATATTCTCGATTTAATCCACAATTAAGATATATTATTAATTTCACTAATACATAAAAAAAATGTAACATATATATATATATATTTAGCTTCCTAGGATTAACATAAAACTTTTTTATTCTAAAACAATTTAAAGATAGAGAAATAAAATTAATATAGTATATTAAAGTATTTTTTCCTTTTTAACATTTCTAAATGTAATTACATGTCATTATGATTTTATTTTTCTATTTTTTATTGAAAGTAAAATTATATAATTTTGGAGTGTGCATGACTTTGTGTGAATTTTTATTTTAACTTTTGTCTTGTAGATTACGACGATTGGGAGAAATCGTCGCAATGTTTGAAAATTTTGCGACGATTTTGAGAGAAACCGTCGCAATGTTGAAAATTTTTGCGACGGTTGGGAAAAATCGTCGCAATGTTGGAAAATTTTGCGACGGTTTTGGGAGAAACCGTTGCAATGTTGAAAAATTTTGCGACAATTGGGAGAAACCGTCGTATGAAGGGTCGCAATATCAAAGCGACGACGGTTTCAGGATAACCGTCGCAATTTGACCGTCGCAATTAATCATTTTCCTTGTAGTGAACAACCAATCACAATAGTGTCACCATCGCATATATCCATCCATTAATATCACCACTATCACATCATCATAAAGTTCATGCACCATGCTTATGCTCGCATCAATGCAAATACAATGCACCTCCTAAGAAGCATTAACTTAGAACGTTGCACAATGACGAACTTCATCAATCTCCTCTAGCACTGCCCACCATTTACTTCACTTATGACCGATGTCACACTGTTAATCACCATTTATAGCCATTGTATAATAATAAAATCGCCACTCTTGGAATTCCTTGTTAATCACCACTTATGGCCAAGGTAAATGTGTGTGCAACATGCACAAATGCTCATGTCATGTTACCTCATTCATTCATCATTTCTATCCATGCCAATGCACAATTAGATATAGATCCACATCTTACAACCATTCCACACCTAATCACATTTTTCACATCAACTCATCCAAATACACACCATTCATACTTATTTATACAATAATCATTATTGGACATCATACAATTTATAACCATCATCAAAATTCATCAATATCATAACATATTTCTAGTCTGCACCAGGTTTCACCAGGCCATGCCCGACTTTAAGCCAAAACAGAAGGTACATAATATTTTCACGCCGGGCGCTAAGACCAAATAGAGAGCACCTTGTCTCTCTCACGCCCAATGTTAGTGAGTTATGCCCGTGTTGAGTTTGAAGCCCTTTTGAAGAAGTAGTTTTAGTTTTGATGTAGCTTTGTTTAAATTTGCTTCATTTTATATTTTTGGCCTATGTTTAAAAGATATTGTATTGATTGTTTCATAAGACTTAGGCTTGTATGTGTTTGTTTATTATGATTGTCATGATTTCAAAAACTTATCTTGTTTGAGTAAACATAACTTAATGTTTCTCATTTCATGTGAAAACATGATATAATAGATTATCAAGTGTTGGTAATAGATTACAAAGTGTTTTGACATAAAATGAAACTTGATTCATTCAAAAGAATTCAAGATTAAGTTAGGTAATAGATTACCATTTCAGGTAATATATTATTGAAACTTAGTTTTGAAATGAAATTCGAAGTCCTTTCTGTGATAATCGATTACCAATCGAAGTAAAAGATTACCATGGTGACTTTTGAGTGAAAACAAGTGAAAAAATGGTTTTGACATTGGGTTAATTGATTACCATCTTTAGTAATCATTACCTCTACATAAAATTGAGTTTTATGCTTGCTAAAGCTTGAGATAATTGATTACCATTCTTGATAATAGATTACCTCTATTCTATAATCAATATGATTTCAATTTTTAAAAGTCTGGTAATAGATTACCTGCACAGGTAATAGATTACAACTGTTACGAAATTTTTAAATGTTGAAATCTTTTTTGCACTATAAATATAACTTTTTTTATAAACTTAAAGGGAGATCAAATATATCATAGAAAACATTTTTAGAACGAAAATTTCACATACTTTTCAAAAAGAATACAAGTGCTAAAGGTTGATTAAAGATTGATGAGTTCTTGAAAGATTTCAAGAAGTTTATGAGCTAATCTTGGAACAAGATAATTTTACACATTTCAGGTGTACTCTTTTCGATCTTTAAACTTTGTTTGAACTTTTGGTTGTGTTACTTTTTGCGATAGGGCATCTCAAGAAAGAGTTAAGATAAATCTTAGGATAGGTTTTTCTCAAGTGGATTCTCGTGGTGCAAGAATTTTGTGTTTGTGTAATCTTGTAGAATGAAGATTATGTGATTTAGATTCTAATTATAATATGGCTTGTACATAGTGTTTGTAAAGAATATTATAGTGGAATGATTGAATTTAGCGGGAAGCTAAGTCTGAAATTAGATGTAGGCCTTTGTATGACGGAACTAGTATAGATCACTGTGCAAATTCTCTCTTAACCTTCATACCTTGTTATAATTCTTGTTAAATTGATAAAAAGAATCTCAAGAATTTCAAGAAACTATTTTCTTGAATATTATCAATTGTTGATTTAACAATCTGTGTATGATATATGCAATTTGGTAATAAAGAAATAATTTGGTGATAAAGAAAGAAGGTGATTACTAAAATCAATTTGGATTATAATATTTGTTTCGCTGTGTATAAAGTCTAATTAATTCTACTCTTGATTGTATTAGTAATCTGAATGTGATTAATTGAAATTGGTCTAAAGAAAGTAAAGAAATTAGAAATAGAGTTTGAAAGACCATTAAAAATCATCTAAGCGAAGAATCTATTCAACCCCCCTTTTAGATTCATGTTCAACCTAAGACCAACAGTCCGACGTTAAGGCAAGGTAGAAACTCACCAACTTTGTCACGCTCGGCGTGATGCATCCCATGCCTAGCTTGACCTCATTTGGGTTTCACACTCATCAGTATGAATGCAAGCTCGAGGCCAAAAACTCAAGCCCGACGCCCAACGTGTTTTCCAGAAACGCAGCATGAACAAAACATCACCAAAATTCATAAGTAATCATATAATCATCTTTTTACCAATCTAATCGGTTAGAAACACTTATTTTTTTACCCAAAAACACATTATATAACTTTAATTCATGAATTTACATACTAATTAACAATAATCAAATTACTCAAGAATCCTAATCCATAGAGACATCCTAATGAATTCAATTATCATCCATATCATCAATTTTACCAAATAATACAACAAACACATTTATAAATCAATATAAAACCTAATTGAATCGTCAATTGCAATGTTAGAACAGAAAATGGAAAATCTTAGGAATTTAGGATTGCTCCCACTACCCATCTCATCTTGAAATCCCACATATGAATGGACTCATTTCCCTCCCCTGTACCTTATTGTGATGATCTCAAGCAATTTGATGTAATTAATTTTTAGATGATCTGAGCACTTTTTCTCAGAGCTTCTTCCTTCTCTTTCTTCTCTCTCAGTTCTTCCAGAATGTAAAATGAGGCAAATTAGGGTAAATTTTGTCTAACCCCTTTCTTAAAGGCTCATTGAACCAGGTCAACTTGACCTGTTTCCCTTCTCCCATTAAATTAAATAAATAAATTTAATTTAATAAAACTACCTTATTACTTTATTTAATAAAATAATTCTTCACATTTAATTCCAAATAATAATTATGAATATAATATAATAATATTTAATTACAAAATTACTCATTATTTAATGATATTTGTTTTTAAAAAATTAGGATGTTACAGTCTTTGGGCAACTATATATGAGCATTGGTGATAGAGTTGAAAGGCCCAAGCGTACAACAAGAAGCCCATTAAAATTCAAAGATTATATAACTTAGAGAATTGGGCTTTTAAATAGGCCAGGTGTTGAGCCAGCAATTTGAATTCAGTTACATTTTTGTTTTCCCTAAATCGGTGTTCTATATGTGTAGGCACCTAAATCATTAGGTCTTTCTTTTTATAGTGGCTGTATTGGAATTCATCAAGCATGCAATGAGCAACTTTCTTAGCAATAACCTAGTGTAGAATCGTTTTCTCTAGCAATCCTCTATTATTTGGTGCTTTCATTCTCCTCATGCCTCCCCGTTCTTCTAAAGAAGATGACCCCATTCAACACCTTTCCACCAAATTTCACGATCTCTAGACCCAATTTGAATCCCAGGTTGCCACCTTTGAGTCCCAATATTCTACCATGCAAGCTGCGATTACCCAGAACCAAGAATCCTTATCCACCATCATGGCCACCCTTCGTACTCATTTTGGGAATCCAGGTTCGTCCACCTCTGGGGCCTCTATTTCTTCTTCCTTTCCCTCGGTTGACAGTACCTTTAGTTCCCATGTGCCATCTACTTCCTTTCCATCTCACCCTTTCCCATCAATTACTTTTTGCGACCCTTCCTACCCGAGACCCCTTCCTCTTTTCACCAAACCTATTACCATCACAGAATCCCTACCATTTATCCCTCCTTTAATACCACCCAATTCCTCAACCTTTACTCCACCAGTCCAACTTTCACCACCATTTCCTCACTCCCATATTCGACCCCCCAAATTGAACCTCCTACCGTTTGATGGCTCTGCCCCTTTGGATTGGTTATTTCAGCATGATCAATATTTTGTTTTATCAAGTGCCTTGGGATTACAGGGTTCCTATTACAGCTTTTTATATGCAGGGTGATGCTTTGAGTTGGTTTAAATGGATGTTTCACAAATCAATTAGGTGATTGGCCTTCTTTTGCACGAACCATGAAAATTCGTTTTGGGCCTTCATCTTACGAGAACCACCAGGGTGAATTATTGAAATTACGCCAAACCAGTTCCGTTGCTGATTTTCAGGCTACTTTTGAAAAATTGAGCAATCGTGTTTTTGGTATTCCACCGAAAATTCTTAAGAATTGTTTTATTTCTGGGTTACATACAGATATATTCAAAATGAAATGGCTATGTTTCAACCCCAGACAATTTCTCAAGCCATTGGGCTTGCTAAATTAATTGAGGCCAAATTCAAAGACGCCAAACCCAAGTTTAACCGTTCCTCCTCCTCTTTTCCTAACCATACATCCTCCACTATTAAATCGGCCAATTCTGTTGCCAAACCTTCTGTGCCACCCGACTCCCCATCCTTTCCCATTAAATGTCTTTCTTCTCAACAACTACAAGAACGACGAGTTGCTGGGCTTTGCTACAATTGTGATGAGAAATTTCATCTGGGACATAAGTTTGCAACCCTAAAATTTTTGTTGTTACTTTGTAATGACGATGTTGGTCCTGATTCAAGTGATTTATTGGCTGAACCTACTTTGGACGATTATGAACCTAACCTTGCTATTCATTTTCAGCTATCCCATCAGGCTCTCACAAGTGTTCCTTCCCCTCAAACGTTGCGGTTTAAAGGCACTATTAATGGTTGTACGGTAATGATCTTAATTGATTCAGGAAGCGCTCACAATATTATCCAACCACGTTTGGCTCACCATTTACAATTGGATATGAGTCCCACTTCTCCGTTCAAAGTTATGGTGGGCAATGGTGAATTTATTCTATGCGATAAATTGTGCTCTAGTGTTCCTCTTACTATTCAACAGGCCGTGGTTCAAGTTCCCTTGTACGTGATTCCTATTGAGGGAGCTGATGTTGTTCTTGGGATTACTTGGCTTCGCACTTTGGGCCCAATTCAAGCTGACTTTTCTGTGCCAACCCTCACCTTTAGCCATCACGACACGACTGTGACTATCACTGGTGACTCTATTTCCCCTACCATGTCATCCTTTCACCAATTATGCCATTATATCCACCAAGATTTGGTAGCATCCCTACATTTACTGCAAGTTTCCCATACGTTTACCCTTCTTAGAATCCATTCCTACCTCTTCTCCTCCTGAGATTAAAACTCTCTTAACCACTTACCAAGCTGTCTTTCAAATACCTAAAAGCTTACCCCCAAATCGTCCTTAGAACCATCACATTTCACTTTTACCCAATTCCACCCCTGTTAATATCAAACCTTATCGCTACCCTCATTCCCAAAAGACCATTATGACCAACCTTATTACGGAAATGTTAGCTGATGGAATTATTAAGCCTAGTACTAGTCCCTTTTCCTCACCAGTTTTATTAGTTAAAAAGAAGGACAATACTTGGCGTTTCTGTGTTGATTACCGCGCTCTTAATGCCATTACCATATGTGATCGTTTCCCTATACCCACCATTGAAGAATTGCTAGATGAACTTGGTTCAGCTCAAGTTTTTTCTAAGATTGATCTTCGTTCTGGTTATCACCAAATCAAAGTAAATTCTTTTGATAGTTTTAAAACTGCTTTCCGCACCCTTGATGGTCATTACAAGTTTTTAGTGATGCCTTTCGGCCTCTCTAATGCTCCCTCTACGTTTCAAGCTACCATGAATGAATTACTAAGACCGTTTTTACGAAAATTTATGCTGGTATTTTTGATGATATTCTGGTCTATAGTAATTCATTCCAAGATCACTTGTCACACCTGGATTCTATTCTTCAGCTCCTATTGTCTAACCAATTTTATGCTAAATTTTTAAAGTGTGTGTTTGCCATGCCTTCGGTGACCTATTTGGGTCATATTATTTCAGGCCAAGGGGTTCAACCTGACCCAGAGAAGATTCAAGCTATCGTAGCTTGGCCTCCTCCACGTTCACTCACGGCTCTACGCAGGTTCTTAGGCCTAACTGGTTTTTATAGAAAATTTGTCCGAAACTATGTAGCGATTGCCACTCCCCTCACCGATTTATTGCGTTCCACTACTTTTCAATGGCCTTTACAAGCACAACAAGCTTTTACTGAGCTCAAAAATAAAATTACATTTGTTTCAGTTCTGGCTCTTCCAGACTTCAACTCTCTTTTTGTCATCAAGACCGATGCTTCTGGCACTGCAATCGGAGTTGTTTTGTCCCAGCATGGTCATCTTATTGCTTTCTTTAGCAAGCACCTTTTCCCTAAGCTCCAAGCTGCCCTTGTCTACATCCGCGAAATGTTGGCTGTAATAAAAGCCATAAAAAGATGGCGTCAATATTTGATTGGCCATTATTTTTAGATTATCACTGATCAAAAGAGTTTAAAGAGTTTGCTTACCCAAGCAGTCCACACTCCCGAGCAGCAGAAATGGGTCATTAAATTCTTGGGCTACCAATTTTGACATTCTCTACAGGCCTGACAGTCAGAATCTTGTGGCTGATACTTTATCTCGCCTAGAACCACACCCTTCGATCTTGCTCTATATTTCTTCACCTGTTCCTCTGTTCCTTCACCCTTGGCAGCAATATTTTAAGACAACGGGTCAGGAATTAGTTAATAAATACTTCAACAAGATAACGGGCAAGATTCGTTTACCCTTCATAATGAGCTATTGTATTTCAAGGAACGACTGTTTGTCCCAGATATTGATGATTTCCACCTCCAACTGCTCAAGGAGTTTCATTGTACCCCGGTTGCCGACCATTCGGGTTTGAAACCTACAGTTTGTCGTCTTGCTGCTGCTTTTTATTGGCCAGGTCTTTGTTCTGATGCTCACAAGTTCATCCGTGAGTGCCCTACATGTCAACATAACAAATATATGCCAACAAAAAAAATTGGGTTATTACAGCCCCTCAAAACTGCCAACAGAGTATGGGATGACATTTCCATGGATTTCATTACGCACCTTCCAAAATCGTTTGGTCATTCCACAATATGGGTTGTTTGTGATCGTTTAACCAAGTTTTCCCATTTCATTGCCCTTCCTGCCCACTTCACAGCATCGCAGCTCGCTCGACGTTTCATGATTGAAATTTTCAAACTCCATGGCTTTCCAAAATCCATTGTTTCGGGCAGGGATCCCTTGTTCGTGAGTTCTATTTGGCGTGAACTTTTTCGCGCCCAAGGCACAACCTTGGCCTTTAACTCTGCCTATCACCCTCAGTCCGACAGGCAATCAGAAGTCTTGAACAGATGTTTGGAAGCTTACCTTCGTTGTTTCGTTAGTGATCACCCTCGCGCTTGGTACCAGTATCTTCACCTCACGAAATATTGGCATAATACCTCCTTCCACACCAGCATCGGCACATCTCCCTTTCATGCTTTGTATGGGCGCGCGCCTCCAAACCCGACAGATGCATTACGCGATTCGTCTTCCACCTCTGTTCTCCTTCTCCTGCAAGAGCATAAAAAGATTTTAAAAGAAATCAAAGTGCATCTTTCGAAGGCTCGTCAACGTATGAAACATTTTGCTAATATGCACCGCCGCGACGTTACCTTTCAACCTAGTGATTAGGTTCTTTTGAAGCTTCAGCCGTACCGATAGACTTCCTTGTTACGTCGCACGTCTCAAAAGCTTGCCAAGCGGTATTATAGGCCCTTCCAAGTTCGTCGGCGCATTGGTTCAATTGCTTATGAACTCATCTTGCCGGACACCGCCCCCATTCACCTCGTGTTCCATGTATCGTTTTTGTGCCTTTACAAAGGCGAAGACCCTATCCGCCACTTTCGGGCTCTTCCGTAGCAAAGGATTGACGCCTCCACTGAAACCTCTTCGTCCTTTCTGTCGCCCCCGACTGAGCTAGATGAAGGGCCTCCATCTAATGACTTTAATCGCGTGCAAACTGGGTTTAGGGAAGTGGGTGTCACCTCGTGTGACCAAACACGTGGCCCTTCCATTACTTTAGAAGTTAATGCACACGCCCCACTTACCACTGTTTCATCACAACTATTCAGCAAAAACACACTCGCATCTCGTGCGTCCACCTCAGCAAGGATTCGTGGCGGCTCCAACATGGCCAATGACATTGAGGAAAATGTCCAATGTGACCAGGCTGGTATTGATAAAGTTGAAAGGCCCAAGCGTACAACAAGAAGCCCATTAAAATTCAAAGATTATATAACTTAGAGAATTGGGCTTTTAAATAGGCCAGGTGTTGAGCCAGCAGTTTGAATTCAGTTACATTGTTGTTTTCCCTAAATCGGTGCTCTACACGTGTAGACACCCAAATCATTAGGTCTTTCTTTTTACAGTGGCTGTATTGGAATTCATCAAGCATGGAATGAGAAACTTTCTTAGCAATAACCTAGTGTAGAATCGTTTTCTCTAGCAATCCTCTATTAATTGGTCTTTAGACAATTGCACGTGAATGTTGTGTTGCTTATATTCTTAATATCATGTGTATATATTGTATGACTTGTTAAAGTGAATAAATATGCTTGATATGTGATTGAGTTACTATTTAAACTATTATGGTTATAATTATATAATTGATATTATATATCTTAATACTTGTTTATGTGTGTGATTACTCAGTCTAGCTTATCTCATACTAGAAATGAAAGTAAGATGTGCATCTCACTTTCTCATTTTGAGTTTTTTTTTTTTGTATTTTGTAACTTAAGATTATGATGATGTAGGTGATTAGGCATGATGCCTTGACTATTTTTAAAATATGCTTTGATGTAGGATATGAGATGGAAAGATTTAAAATTTATGATTTATGTTACATGTTTTCTTTTGATATTTATGGTATAACTCGTTTATATTTGTTGATTATTAGGAACCTTATGTTAGTTCTTTTGAAGTTTTGTGTGAGCTTTAAGTGGTCCCATGCAAACATTTTCCTACATTCATTGCATCATCCTTTTCTCTATTCGTTCCTGTGTCCAAACATCATGTTCCTTCGTTATAAAAGCGCAAGAGTAGAACTGAACAAAACAGTTGCAAGCTAAAGCAAACACATTAAGAAAACCACTTTATACAAAAGAGAACCAGAATGAACTCACCAGACACAGACCCTAGGAGCGGCTTCAACCGCGCTTCCAGAACCTTCCACAGCCTCAAACCCCCTCTCCTCCTCCCTCCGCCCGACGCCACCGTCTCCGCCGCCACCTACGCCATCTCCCTCCGCCGCAACTCCCCCTGGCCGGACTCCACCACCGCTGTCATCGACGCCGCCACTGGCCACCGCATCTCCTACGGCGAGCTCATCCACCGCGCCCAAACCCTAGCCTCCAACCTCGCCTCCGTCCTCAAACTCTCGAAAAACGACACCGCACTGATCCTCTCCCCAAACCTTCTCCAAGTTCCAATCCTCTGCTTCGCGCTCCTCTCCCTTGGCGTGGTCCTCTCCCCGGCGAACCCTCTCTCCACGCGCTCCGACCTCACGCGCCTCCTCCACCTCAGCAAGCCCTCCATCGTCTTCGCAGCGGCCTCCGTCGCGGAGAAAGCGCGCGAGCTTGGACTCCGAGTCGTGCTGCTCGACTCGCCCGAGTTCGAGTCGCTCACCAGGACTCCTACGGACTCTCCGAGTGAACCGGCGCGAGTGCGTCAATCCGACGTGGCGGCGATCCTTTACTCGTCGGGGACGACGGGGATGGTGAAGGGCGTGGCGCTGACGCACCGTAACTTGACGGCGTTGGCGGCGGCACAAGACGCCGTTCGCGCGAAGAGAGAGGAGCCCGTGGTGTACCTCTTCACGATGCCGTTTTTCCACGTGTACGGGTTCACGTTCACGGTGAAGGCGATGGTGACGTTGGACACGGTGGTGGTGATGGAGAGGTTTAGTCTTCGGGGGATGCTGAGCGCCGTGGAGACGTTCGGCGTGACGCATGCGGCGGTGGTGCCGGCGCTGTTGGTGGCTCTGACGAAAGACGGCGCCACTGAGGGGTACGATTTGAAGACGTTGGAGACGATTGCGTGCGGTTCGGCTCCGCTGGGAAAGGAAGTCTTTGAGGCTTTCAAAGCCAAGTTCCCCAACGTCGTCGTCGTACAGGTTTGCCTTTGCCATTACATAATCAAAGCTTCCCAATTTTTTTTTAACTGTATATTAATTTATTTTAAAATACCTTTATGGTATATCTTACTAAAAAAGAGGACCCACTCTCACTACTTCTCTCATTTTTTTTTAAATGATAAGCATGCTTAATTTTTAGTGTGAAATTTATTTATAAAAAAATCAAAATTATAATTTAAAATAAATATTTATAGAATAACATCGGATATAAAATGTGGAGATAAAAAATACATATCACTCTAGTTATTATTAATAAATTAAAGATAAATTATATTTTTAATCTATTCATTTTTATAAATTTATAAAATTATAAAATTTTGATCTTATCATTAATTTTGTATTCGTTAATAATTAATTTTAATATTATTTAATAATTTATTATCACTTAAGTAATATA